GGGGGGGGGGGGGGGGGGGGGGGGGGGGGGGGGGGGGGGGGGGGGGGGGGGGGGGGGGGGGGGGGGGGGGGGGGGGGGTCGTTCACTGCTGTGAACTGGGCTAAAAAAAGCTGACAAGATTGCGACGCCGTGGATAGCTGTTGCTCTCTAGGCTGATTCGTGAAAGTTGTTCCCGGAGAGGAATCGAACATAATTTCCCGGCTCTTTTCAAAAAAATACTTTCTCGGGAAAGGCTTGAGGGCACACGCTCTACGGTTATGATCATCAAGAGGAGAGAAGAGTAGAGAGAGGAGAGAAGAGGACAGAGAGGACAGAGAGGACAGAGAGGGGGAGAAGGAGAGACCAGACGAAGAAGCCCGAAAGAAAAAGCAAACCACACAACGCGGAGAAACAGGCAGGCGCTGCCACCCGTGTTCCTGTAAACGCGCGACGCCCCCCCGACCAGTACCACACAAAGAGCAAACGAAGCATCCCAAGAAAGGAAAAACGAAGTGAACAAACCCGTACTGCAACCACCCTAAAAACAGAACACATCGCGGACACAAGCACGTGACACGCACACGCACACCGTCACGCATGTACACTGCCTGCCTGCACCTGTTGAACACCGGGTCGTCGTCAGTGATTACCCCGTGGGAGCGAAGGAGCGCCTGAACCTCACGGGTGGCGCCCGAGAACACCACGTCGACCCCGCTGGTCCTAAGCACGATCTTGAGCATCAAGAAGCACGACCGCGCCGCCGTGGCATCAACGCCAACCTGTGTGGTTGGTTTTCCCAGGGAGACGGAGGGGGGGGTTACTCTCATGTTTTGCATGCCTTACTGTAGCTGTTAGACCACGCGTCGTGGAGAGGACGTAGCATTTGTTCCCACAGGACCGATCACCGATGGCCAATCATTCCTTCCTACTTTGCCAAACGTGGTGGGGGGCAGCGGCGACGGAAGCGACTGGCGTTCGTTGAGATAACCGGGCTTTGAAAGACATCGGTCCCGGGAGTTTGTGCTATTTTTCGTACACCGGCAGGCAGCGAGGGTGGCAGACAAGAAGAGCGTCAACCGATGGGCGACCGCTGCCTGCGTGGTTGCGCGTGCGCTTTCTCCACGGAAAGCTCCTACCACAACACCATTGTGCCGGGAGTAGTTCGACGGAGTCCGTCGCAATCAGTTCTTGCACGCAGGACGAGAGGGCACCAGCAGCGGGCAAAGGCTAAATGGAGATACCTGTTCAGGCAGTTATCGGGGGTCCCTTCTGGTTCTTCCCTCCCAAATGCTACTGCCGAAAATAATCCACGAGGTTCGCGGTGTCGGAGAGGTGCACGACTCATGCTGCTGCAAGAGTCCACGGGAGTTCGAGACATCATGCAGGCACACGACCCACGCTGCCGCAAATATTCCACCATACTCGAAGCTTGAAGACAGGAAACCCACTCACGACGTTGGAGAAGTCCAAGATGACGCGTCGGGTTCGCTCTTCGGAGGCCGGTAGGAGAGACGCCACCGAGCAAGATCGGGCCATGCGGCCGGAGAACCCGGGGCTGCTGTCGCCGCCGCCCGTCATGCCGGTAAGGCCTGGGCTGTCGGCAAACGACCCGCCGCCGTTTGCCCAGAGCTGTTTCCAGGGCCCCACCAGCGAAGAAGGGAGAGATGGAACACCGAAGTGAGGGCGGGCAAGGGAGGGTCGATGGCGGCGGATCAACAAGGCGATATCCTTCCAAGGTTAGGATGTAATACACACTCGACACGCAATGTATGCCACGTTTTTTTTCTGCCCACAAACATGTCTTTGTTCTCTTGCTTATTGGGTCTATGTTTCTCTATGTGTCAGTGTCATATCTGACCCCCGTGCGGTAGTTCTCACCGACATGTACGCCTGCACGGCACCCTCTCCGACCCCCTGTTCCTCCCCAAGGCTGGCCCCGCGCGAGTGTCGCACGCGCACACCCGTCGCTCCGCCGCCACTGCTACCTACGCCCCCGTCTCCGCCGGCCCCGCCTTCCTCCATCGCCCCATAGCCAGTCGTCTCTCTCGTGGGGACCGAGAAGTTAGCCCCACCGCTACCACCGTCATGTCTGCTGCTGCCATTTGCGAGCACAGCCGGCTGCTGCTTCTCAGTCTCCTGCTGCTCGCTCGCGCCTGGCAGCAGGCCGCCGGCTCTGTGGAAGGGTCGACCCCGGCCGCCGCCGGCCCCAGGGATCCCGGTGCTCGTCGTCGTCGTCGTTCCCCCGACTGACCTGGTCCTCGCGAGCGACTGAGCTAGGGGTGATGATATTCCTTGAGACGAGCCCCCCCCCTGCTGCTGTGAGGATGTCGACGTGTGCTCCCGCAACGACTGACTCCGCGCTTCTCGCGGGCTGCGCCAGCGCCGGGGTGACGACCCGGGAAGTACCGAAGAGGCCGCCGCCGCCGCCGCCGCCGCCGCCGCCGCCGCCGCCGCCGCCGCCGCCGCCGCTGTTGCCGACGATGAACGGTAGACCGCTCCGGATCTGTTGAACACCGGACTCAAGATGTCCCCGCGGGGGTTCATGGCACTCGCAGCAATGGTCCCTTCGCCGCTGGGCTTGAAAAGCGCGGCTGTTTCAAGGTATGACTGCTGCTGCTGCAGCTGCTTCTGCGGGTTCCCGACAGTTCTGGTGGAACGGTTGCTGTCGTCGTAGACGTTGCCGTAGAGGCCGGTGGCGGGAGCCCCGGTGTAGGGGGTCGGGGGGGGGTCGGTGCCCCACACGATGCGATCCTTGACGTCTGACAGAATCTTGACGGCGGAGCCGAAAAAGATGTAGCCCTGTGTGCGTTGCGCGTGTATTTTTCGTGAGAGGCGGGCGCGCGCATCGTACATGTGCAAGTGTCCGACCGGGTACAATGCCGGGAAGGGGGGAGTGTGAAAGCGCCGAGGTAGAGTATATGAGTGAGAGGGGTGAGGGGAGGGGGGATAAGGAGCAATGAACGACCAGAGAGAGACAGATAGATCGACAGAAACCTGTGTGCCGCTGAAAAGAGCTGATTTGATCCCTGGCAAGTTGTGAAGTTGAAGCATAGATAGAGGAATACTTCGAAGTATAAGGGATACGAGGCGGTGGGCGCGTTAGCAGGAAAGGGCAGGGAAGGGAATGGGGGCCGTCGGTAGTCAAATCCTGCGAGCCGTCAGCGTTAGAGCATCTACCTCGTGCTGCAACTGAGAAGGGTCCAACCCCTCTGTATGGTTCGAGAAATTAATGGTGCCAACAATAAAAGCTACGGGTCCATACATACTACACGCGGAAAAGACATCAAGATCGTGTCTCAACCACAAACAAAAAAAAACAAAGGTGAGTTTATTTTTTTTCGCATGTACCTGTAGCTCGAGGACCACCGTCTGCTCCTGGTGGGCCTTGAGGATCACGCGTTCCTCGAACGTCCGCATTACGGTGCTGGCCTTCACACGCGCCGTCATTACTGTGGGAACCTGTGAACATCAAAACCAAAATGCGCCACCCAAAGAAGCGGAAAAGAAAAAGGGACAAGAACGACATCTTGTCCTTTCGGAGATGAACATCGGAACAGAAGAAGGAAAAGCACGCAACAATTGAAAAAAGAGCGGAAAAGAAGGGGGAAATGATCTGTCGTTCTTTCGGAGATGAAAAGGCGTCACGGCAGCTACGAAAATAAACCACCAAATATTTTTGAGTCGCTTAGAAAACGATCACGAACGATAATTTTCCTGTGTACCTCACGGAGGAATGGTCGTGAGGTGGGAGGAGTGTGACAAAACGACCCACGGAAGAAGGTACCGACATCAACACGAAACCGACAACAAACGCCACCGCAGCATTGGATGCAACTCCTGTCTAGTTTGTCTCTGTGCACGCCCCTTGTCTCCCTAAACAACCACGTGTTTCTCCAAAAACAAAGATGTCAGAGACAGGGGAAATAGATGGGAGAGAGAGAGAGAGAGAGGTAAGGAGAGAGATAAAGAGGGACAGAGAGAAGGGCCGGGAGGGGGAGAGGACGAGACACGAAAGACTAGGTGCCTGCGTCACCCCAGCCCACCACCCATGCCATATTCTATCACCTGCGCGTACGTGACGGTGAAGCTGAGCGCGGCGAGCACGAGCCCCGCGACCATGCCCTTCTCCACGCCCCAGGCCTGGATCGAGCAAAACGTCGCCAAGCACACCAGGTACTCGGCCGGCATCATCCTGCCCCCTCCCCCCCCCCCCCCCCCCCCCCCCCC